CTCCTTCAAAGTCGCGGTTCTCGATCGCGATCACCCAAATGAGGTATGCCAGAGCGACGAAGATGGACACACCGCCTGGGAGTGCTTCGCTCTCGCTGCAAGTAGGAGCCGCTGCAAACCCTCGCAGCTCCTCGTGATCGCACTCCACTCCCACATCATCCCAGACCACTCCCTCATCTTCCCCTGTTCCTTTCCTCCTCCCCTCCGCTTCCCTCCCCTCCCTCTCTCTTGTTCTGCATATGTATATCCGCCGGTCACCTTGCAGGGCCACCAGGCTGCGACGACCAGCCTTCAGCAACGCAGGTGCCAGTCCTTAGCTCCTCGGTCGGTCCCAGTCGCAATTCCAAAGCCATTTACATATTCAGTTTGTAATGGTTCAACTCTACCTTGAGCTTCCACTTGTAAAACAAAGTGACTGTCCGCGCGATGGGGGGAAATCGAAAACCACTCTTGTACCTACTCCTCGTCCCGCTACTCCTCGACGTATTCCTTCTGGTGGTGGGCTGGTGAAACTGCCGCCGCTGATGCTTCTCTTGGCGTGGCGTCCCCCATTGTCACCCTTCCATGAGCTTTCCGTGTCCAATTCATCTCTACACCGCCTTGCTGAACTTGGCTTCTTACAGTAGGGGATCGACCACAAGAAACCTTCCACATGAAACCCGACCCTGAGACCCCAGGACGTCCATCGATGTTTGGTGTGGGAGCGTCACGTTTTCCATAGCAGAACTATCGAAACCCAAGAAACAAGGCACCCTGGAGGCAAGCACGGTGTTTCTTGGCATGGGCCTCCACTGTACTGACCAGAGAACCAGACCAGCCAGGGGAACCAAAACCATGAGACCCTCCGTCGGCCAAAACACACAGAACATCAAAGAACCACCCCCCAGGATGCACAAGAACAGCCAACAAGCACGAAGAGCATGAGTGTACCCTCCCCGGACAGACATCGATCTTACACCTCGGTCCGACTGTATCTCCTTCTCCTGCTCGGCCACCCAATGCAGCGCAACACCAGCCAGGCCGCCAGACCAGGCAGACCAGCCTCGGCAGCTGAAGTAGCCAAGCCAGCCAGACCAGGCTGAGCCAACCCGAAGCGGCGTTGCAATTACGCAGACATCGCCCTGAATCAAATGGGATGTAACGCAAAGTCAGCTGTGCAGGTGAATTCCTCCTCCCGTCCCCTCCTCCACGATCCTGTTCCTATGGCAATGATCTTCTTCCACTCGTCTTGCGAAGTCTGCGTGCCGCTCTTCGAATCGACCTCCCACTGGTTGCCCTCGGTGCGTGCGAGGGGGGGAGGGGGAGCATGACGACGGTAAAAAGCAAAGAGGAAAGAGGACCATGAACACGAAATGAAAACTACGACTTGGGCGGGTAAGACATTAGACGGTGGTGAAAATGGCAGGAGCAAGAGAATCCGTCCGCAGCCGTGCCGCGAGGCACTGGGTTCCTCAGGTCCTCAACCGTCCACAGCCATCAATCAATGTGGCACATACTCGTTGATGGGCCTAGGTATCCCAATCATGGGTTTCTGGAGGGTGGGATCGCGCTCCACCTGGGGCTTGCCGCATGGCCAATCCCGAGCTTTGGTGTGACGACTGCCTCCTCTTTGCCCCGTTGCAAGCTCCTACGTTCCAATGATCAAGAGAACTCGCCTGGGGACCGTTTCTAGATGGTCTGCTGGGGACACTCGACACGCCAACAAAATCATCATGCACGCTTGCACATCCAATTGTCGCCTCGCTGCGTGCGTTGCCTGCTCACAACCCATCGTCCGTCATGTACAACCTTGCGCATAATGTCGTGTCCGCAAAGCCGTGCCGCTCACATCAGCCTAGGTGTTGTTCGCCACCGTGCCTTGTGCACACTGGGGCGTGTTAGACTGCTCCTCTGATGTCTGGCCTGGATTATGCAATGCTCTTCCGGGTCGGACCCAGCCCGGGCCTGCGCGCAGCATCCGAACACCGCCCCCCTTTTCGGAGCGGATGTGGGGCGATTTCCCGAATCACATTGAAGAACACATACCGTAAGGGCCGAGAAGAAGCCTCCAGGGCGGGAACGAAACAGCCCCCCCACTCCCCCAGGGGGGCATAAACAAACAGAAGCATCAAAGCGTCAGACATCGACCCACGCAATCAACCAGAGTGTTCGCCAGGCGATGGCCTGGTAGTTACGGGGGGGGGCGGTGGATGGGTACCAAGGCGGCGGGATATACCCAGCTGGCCAGGGTGGATACCCATCCGGCGGCCGCCGGATGGGGCACAGCGGGATACCCATCCGGCGGTCGCTGGATGGGTCTCTGGCTGGGTAGGGTGGACGCCAGAGAGGATACCCAGCTGGCGGCGGGAATACAGCATGCAATCAACAAACACAAACACACACAAACAACCGACACAGAAACAGCAACGCTCCAAAACTGCCAACGGCCTCCAAGGCCGGCGGGCCCAAGACTGCCCAAGAAGGCACGAAAACAATCCAAGGGGACCCCACCCCACGATGGCCAAAGATGGTATCCAGACGGCCCAAAAGGTCGCCGAGAGAGCTCCAAGAGAACGCCCAACAGACCCCGAAAGTCAAACACATCGCTGTGCACCCAGGCTCTGGGAGATTTCAACGTGCTGGCCCCGTCTGGCACCCGAAAGCCCAAGACTACCCAAAAGGTCTCTCCAAGACAGCCCAACTAGGCTCTCAAGACGGCCCAAGGGTGGCCCAGGGGGGTCCAGAACGGCCGAAGAGCCCCACAAGAAGCCCTAAAGACAAGAGGGGGAAACCGAGCTGGTCTTGACATAATTTTCCTGCAGGATTGCTTCCAAGGCTCCTGGCATGCCCCTGAGAGGCCTCCCAAGACGCCGCCAAGAGGCCCAAGTGACTCCCAAGAGGCCTCCCAACGGTGCCTCTACCACAAGCCACCAGCGGCCTCCCAAACGGACATCAACGGCTCCCGAACGCCGATAGGCCCATCAAAAGGCCCAGAGAAGCACCACTATGCATTTTCAGGAACCTCCTTGACGCTGCGCTTCTGACCTGGCGCGGTGGCGGGCTTACCGCAGACAGGTGGATACAGGTACAGGCACAGGTACAGCCTGCATGCCGGCTCCAGAGGAGCGGTCCCTCAAAGGGGCAGGCGGCGGCAAAGGACTGTGAAACGTGCCTTGGGTGAAAACTGCAGTATAAATCGCTCACTCCTGGTAGAAGACGACAGACACGTGTTGGCACGTGGATTGCAACAGGAGACAGAAGACGAACGACACAAGAGATAAACATTCACCCGACTAGGTATGACAACGCTGCCCGCCGCATGACACAGATTGCGCGAATGCTGCACTGTTACCCAAGATGCTCTGCACATTGGTACAGCTGCAGCCTGCCATTCGTCCTGCTCCCGGGCAAAGGCAAACATGAAATGACGCTATTGAGCGCTATTGGCGCTGTTGGCGCGAAGAAAGCCGTTGCACTTTATCACGCTAAGAGAAGAGAAGTGACATCAACTTGTGCGACGTCACGTCGAAGGCACCATCGGCCTCCGATCCCGATGCCCACGACAAAGGGCATAAGGCATACACCGAGCAACACAACAATTTGCGCCGAGGAGAACTCAATGTCTTTTTCGCGTACCTCTGCAAAAGCCGTCCCGCCAGAATCAATCGATGCATCTTTCGGAAAGACGCCTGGGCAAGAGGCCGATAGGAAGCGGAAGAAAGCCGTGAAGAAATTGTGCAGCCCAAAGTGCCAAAAGTTGTAGCTGGGGTCCTTGAGGGCTGACATCTGCTCTTCAGCTCTGTCCTTCGGGAATCCAAGCTCCATAGTCTTTGTAACACCCACAAGGACACAGTAGATGGCGATGATGCCCCGAAGAACCCAATGCGGTGCTGTGCTGCTGGCGAACAGAGTGTACCACCAAATAGCCAAGGAATCCCAACAGCACCAATTATAATGGCGCGTTCAACTTTGCAACTGTGGGGAACTTGTCAGCATGATGTTCGATCAGACCCTGGATTCCCCCCAACAACAGTCAGGACTGCGATCGGATATGGACAACATGTGACCGACGCCCACAGAATGTAGAAGAACCAAGCCGGAAGAACGGTGAAGCTTTCTCCGACCATCGCGCCGATTAGATGCAAGAAGGAAAGCGCAGGCCCTGGACTGTCGACCTGATATGTATTATGGATGGTGGCCCTGCATCGAGCCAACACGGCTTGAGCCAAAACGGCTACGAATTTGCTCACCGCGGCTGTGCAATTCATTGCCTGTGACCTGCGTTACTCGTCGGCACCATGCCAAGCTCACACGATTACCACGCAGGCGTTATAAACACAATTTGGCAAGATGGCGAACGGCTTCAGTCAGTTACGTCTGCAGCGTGCTTGAAGCATGCGCCTACGTCCACAATGCATAACCAACGGCATCCAGTTACACAGTGATAGCTGCGGCTACCCATCAATCACATCCCCTTCTCCTCGCCCCTCTTCATCTAGAACAACAAACGTCGTTGGACGTCATGGATACGGAAATAATGGGCACGATGCCTACCAAGATTTTGTAAATCGAGGGGGCCACAGACACAGTCCAAGGCTCAATACTTTCCCTTCTAGAGAACTGGATGCGAGCCCTGGAAGGGGCACTTCAACTGAAAAACAGGTGCAATGGAAGTGGGATCAACAATATTATCACGACCACGACGATGACGCCGAACAGCGACGGTGAGGATGACAAACGACGTCGACGAAACGACGGCGCCTGCGAGGGATCGTCGGGGATCGGCTCCAGCGCCAGGAACTGCTTTATGCGGCTGCTGCTGGATGCCTCGGGCGAGTCGGGCACGTACTCGGCGCCCAACGGCATGTCCGCCTGGCCAACCCCATCGGCCCTCTCCCCTGGGCCCAGCTCCTCCTCTCGTCCTTTGCCCCCTCCTCCCTCGGGGGCGCGCAAACATGGATTGGCGATCAATGGATTTGGCGCGCGGTCGCCAAATCCATGGATCGGGGGAGGTGCCCTCTCCGCAATGCGGCCGGTGCCGCCTCGTTCGGCGGCGGAAATCCGCGATTTCCCATGGAAACGGGACCCGTCGCTCATCCACGCCCCCTTGATCCATGTCTGCGATCGCCCGACTCTCCTCCCCTCTCCTCCTCCTCCTCCTCCTCCTCCTCCTCCTCCTCCAACTCCTCCTCCTCCTCCTCCAACTCCTCCTCCCCCTTCCTTCCTCCCCTCTCCATGGCCTCCGCCCTGGGGTCGCTGTGGCCTTGGCTTCTCTACTAAGTTGATGGGCCTCCGCCCTGGGGTCGCTGTTCCACTACCACCACCATAAGCTGGAGGGGGGAAGGAGGTGGAGGATGAGGAAGAGGACGAAGAGGGGGAGGAGGAGGAGAAGGAGGAGGAGGAGGAGGAGGAGGAGGAGGAGGACCCCCTCCCCCTCCCACGTATGGCGGTGGCGGTGGAAAACATACCCACCATAAGTGTGGGGGATGCTGGGGCCCTGGTCCCTGGCGCACGGAGCGCGCCAAGGGCGGCGCCGGAGGTGCCGCCAAGGGGCCCAGGAGCCGATCCAAGATTTCCGCGCGGAGCGCCGAAGTTTCTGCTTATGGCGTTTCTTCTTCTTCTTCTTCGAGAATCGTCCCTCCCAACGTCCGCCCCACGTCCTGCCTGCCAGGCCTCCCTCCCTAGATCACTGGTGACTCCCCCCTCCCTGCCTGGACCCCTCCTCCTGCCCGCGACTACAGCCGGGCTGCTTCGATACAGTAGGGGCCCGACCAGAAGAAACCTTCCACGAGAAGCCCAACCCTGAGACCCCAGGACGTCTATTGATTTTTCGTGTGGGAGCGTCGCGCTTTCCATAGCAAAGCCATCGAAACCCAAGACACCCATGGATCCCTGGAGGCGAGCAGGGTGCTTCTTGGCATGGGTCTCCACTGTACCCAGACATGCGAGGTCCTGATTTCCAGGACTCTTTCCTGGGGGCCCGCTGTTCGCCCAAAGTCGGCTCTTGATGGCCCCAGGGCCGGGCGCGGGCCCCGAGAGGCCGGAGACGGCAACACAAATACCCCGTGATGCTTTTCTGCCACGACGCGAACACGCCTGGGAAGTGGTCCTCATCTCAGCGCCTTGCCTGCACCACCACTGAGACGAAGCCAGGACGAGGACAACATCGGCTGAGGATAAATCGAGAATCTCTGATATACAGCGGCTCTGAAGGATGTCTCGGGCGCCGCGGCCTTCTGGAACGCTTTGAGAGCGTTGCAGAACCCCCTGGAGCGGAGTTGGCGATGCATTGGCGACGCTGGCGTGGAGAGAATCGAGCTCCACATTGAGCCGCATCGCCGATGCATCTGCGATGCGGCGTGATCCTCCGACCCCATCGAGGAGTCATAGACTTGAATCAGGCCTGTCCTTCTAACAGGAGGAGTATTAAACAATGGAAAAAATGTGGAGATTAATACATATATATATAAAATGTATCTGTATGTATGGATTGATGATAATGTGTTGACTTAATGTTTCGCCCAAGCTCCGCCTGTAGGAGGACAAGCCCGACCTAAGCCTAGACCATGGCGAGCGGGGAGGGGAAGGATGCGGGCAGCGGCAGTCGCCGCCTCTGCAGGCGAACAGCCGTCGTGGCCGCCGCCGCGCCGCCGCCGCCGCCCTGGTCGGCGGCAGCGGCGGCGACAGCAGCCACGGCGGCGGCGACGGCGGCGGCGACGGACCCTTGGGTTAGATCGGGCATGTCCGCCTACATGCGGATGTTGGGCGAAATATTGAAGATAGTCAAAAAATGCCCCCCCCCCAAAAAATAAAATCAAGAGAACGTCCCCAGACTAATCTTTTAAACCATTTGTTTGAATATCCTCTTGTAGAGGGACAGGCCCGACTTAACCCTGGGGCCTTCCCCCAAGAGGCCCGAGGGCGGCGAATAATCTCGTGGGACGCACAGAGACATGCTGGCACCAGACGCCCTCCGGCTCGCGTCCGACCCGAACATACAGTGCAGCGGAGGCCAGTCCACAAGAAGCCCAACCACGAGACCCCAGGTGAGCGTTGTTTTATTCAGCGTTTCGGCATTTGGTGGACAGGGGGGGAGTGGGGGGGGTCTGGCTCTGGACATCTGCTTAGTGCGACTGTTTGCAAGAGTGCTGCCTCTGGGGGAGACCCCACCCCCTCGAAATGTGCGCCAAAACACAACCAAAATCTACTCCATGGGGGGGGGGGGGGGTTGCCCGCGCCGATCCGCTAAACAATGCATAAAAAACGAGCACCAGGACGACCATTGATTTTGCGCGCGGGAACGCCACGCTTTCCATTGCAGAACCATCGAAAGCCAAGACACCCAGGGCACCCTGGAGGCAAGCAGGGTGTTTCTTGGCGTGCGTCCCCGCTGTGTACCCATCTTGCAACATAACGTTTCCCGAGCGGTGTGACCAGAAAGCGCCCGCCTCGACGCATCTGCTGCAAGATTTCTCGGCGAGGCGACGCATACACAGTATTAGTATTAGGTCGGGCGTGTCCTTGTACAGGCGGATCTTGGACGAACAATGAAGAATAGTGCACCAAGTCTCAAGCATAGTCAGAAAATACTAACGGCATCGTCCCCAGACTATCGTTCTACTACTTTTGAATACTCCTCCTGTACAGGGACACGCCCGACTTAATATTAGACAGTGCAATCTCAGGACCCGTCCCCTATCGGGACCCGCTTCCCCCAGTGGCGAGCGGGGAGCGGGCGGAGGACGCGCTACGGGACGAGCACGACCGCCAGCGCGCGCCCGGGAGGGGCAGCGCGCGCGGCAGAAGGCTCCCTCTCTCTCGGAAGGCGGCGGGGCTCCTGCGGCTCCTCAGAGGCCCGCCTCTCCCCCCTTGGCCTGCTGAGAATCCAGACCCTCATCGAGTCCTGGAGAAATCGCGACGGGCGGATTTGCTGTGTTTCATGCTCGGCCCCTGGGGGCCCTTGCTGGGCCTCGGAACCGTCAAAGAACGACTCGGAATGAAAAGCCGGTCCCGGCGAATGGGTCGGGACCTCTGGATACAGTCGGGCTGCTGAAATAAGGAACGCGCTAAACAAGGAACGAAGCCCCTCTGCAGCTTCAAAAAACGCCCGGGTGCACTAGAGGAAGAAGGGCTAGAGGAACAACCGCGGAAGGAAGTCAGGAACATCGAGCCCCTTCCGACTCCAAACCGTTCCTTATTTCAGCGTCTCGGCTTTACACCCTGCGAAATGCTTAAGAAATCATGGGTTAAGAAATTCATAGTCTCAGAAATGGAATAAAACCCAGAACTTCTATCAAAATCTTGGGATTTACATTGAAAAGTTAAGAATAATCGAGACTCTGGACGAAAACTTAGGTTTTCTTAAGCATCGCCTAAGGTGTACGAGCGAATCATGACGTCTGGGGTATGGGAAGCTGCTCGCGCCTTCGGGGAAGGCCCCGAAAACCTCTCCGGAGGCCCGGGGCCTGCCCGGAGCCTTCTGCCGGGGGGGGGGGCCAAGGAGGGGGTCGCCCAAGAGGGGGGGCGCATGTGCGCGGCCGAGTGGAGGGGGGGGGGGGGCAGGAACGTACTGAAAGAAGAAGAGGCGCCATGAAATCTGAGGAAGTACCATAGCCCACGCCATATCCACCCCCCTAGCCATCACCCCCCTCTTGGCGCCCCCGATTCTGAGAAGTCCGCTCCCTCTCGCTTCCCCCCCGGGGCTCGCCGCCGATAGACGGGGACGAGGTGGAGCACGAACGAGCTCTCTTCTCCGGGGCCGGCTCTTCACCCCAAGCCGCAGTCTTTGACAGTCCCTCGGGGCCCTGCGAGGACCCCCAAGGGCCACAAACGGCCCAAGACAGCCCGTCGTGATGCTTCCCTCCTCCTCCTCCTCCTCCTCCTCCTCCTCCTCCTCCTCCTCCTCTTCCTCCTCCAGTGTCGCCGAAGCCTGGGGGCGCGCCCCCCCAAGCATCTGCACGTCGCGATGTTTCTCACGACGTGAAGGTGCCTGGGATATGGGGGGGTCGAAAAGCACCGATGCCCGGTACCGCTGCTCCCTGGACCTCTCCTGGGGCGCGCTCTGGCCAGAATTCCGAGGCGAACCCAGCCGTGGCAACGAAGGCCTCCCAGGAGGCCCCCCCGGAAAGTTTTAAACGAGGGGGGCATCGGCACCCTTCGGTGGCAACTCATGGAAGCCTCCCGTACCATCCGTTACGGCTCTTGCGAATCGACACTAATCGATGCTAGTCGACGCTGGATCGACGCTCAATTGACGCGGAATCATCGATTAGCAGACGCTAGTGGCCTCTAAGGCGCCTTAACAACAACATGATTAACAGGGTAGAAGCTCCCAGGTTTTGACACCGAGAATACCCTTTGTCTCCTCTGACAGGGCGGCGGCGGCGGCGGCGGCAGCGGCGGCGGCGCAGGCGCAGGCGCCAGCCGCGCCCGGGCCTCCTTGAGCCCCAGCGGCGGGGCACCTTTCGCCCCCGCCCCGGCCGCGGGGCTGGCGCCATCCGCGGCCGCCTCCTTCCACACGTCCGCGTCGGGCCCGCCTGAGGCTCAGCATTGGGAAGACAGCAAGTCTCGAGGGCAGAGATAGGACCCAGACATCCGACGTCTCGATTTTTTCGAGAAGCGGCCCCCCGACCTCCCGACCACTTCCCGGGGACCGGTTTTGCATTCCGAGTCGTTTTTTGACGGTCCCGAAGCCCGGAAAGGGCCCCGAGAGGCCAAAAACTATATAAAAAAAACTCGGTCTCGATTTTTTCGAGACGCCCGATGTCTGGGGAGGGGGGAGGACTGGCACAAAAAGGGGGGGAACATGGACCTGGACTCCGCGATACATCGCCGATAGATCGGCGGTAGGCCCCCGATGGCGAATCCGCACAGTCCTGGGCGGGGCGGGCCATCAGACCCTTATCGGCGAAGAATGGGCGATTGGGGATCGAGGCACCGCCCTGCTGTGCCTATCCCTCCCCCAACGTTGCCCCCGACTCCTGCATCGGGTCCTGACGGAATTCCCCGGGAAACGGGTCCTGGGCCCCGGGGCCCTCCTCCAGGACCAGTTCTTCATCCTGGCTGAGCCTTTCTGACAATCCCCGGGCCCGTGGAGGGCCCCCCGAAGCCCAAAACGGCGAAACACCTCGGGATCTGTTTTTCTGGGGAAGCCAAACAGCACCGATACAGCTAATTACTCTCCTGACCTTTCCTGGGGTGCGTCCTGACCAGAATCTCGAGGCGAATCCGGCGGTGGCGACGAGGGCTTCCCAGGAGGCGCGAAAAAGGAAAACAAGGGAAGGGCAGCCGTATGGGTACGTGCTCCTCCTCTGACCCATACATGCGACGTCCTGATTTGTTCCGTACGCGTTCCCTGGAAGTCCGGAAACTTCCCCCGGGAACGGTTTTTTATCCGGAGTCGTTCGTTGACGACCCCGGGGCCTGGCGATAGCTCCCACATGCCAAAAATGACCAAAAGCCTCCCGTCGCGATCTTTGCTACCATGCTGCCAGCACGTCTGGGCCTTCCTCCTCTGAGCTTCCTTCCCTCAGGACCTGCGCCCTCCCATGGCGAGACGGAGCCGGCCTCCTGCGGCCGTCGCCCTCCTGCCCGCGCCCGGGCCGCGCGGCTCGGCGGCGCGGCTGGCTGCGGCGGCGAAGCCTGACGCCGCGCGCAGAGGCCGCCCGAGCCGCCGCGCCGTCGGCGTCGCCGCCGCGCCGCCGCGCCGCCGCGGCCGCAGCGCCGATGGTCGCGCGATGCGCCGTCGCGTCCTCGCGGCGCGGGTGCCGCCTCGTCGTCACGTGCCTCGGGGGGGCGGCAGCGCCTCGGGGTGCCGCCGCAACTGCTGCTACTGCTGCATCGCGTCAGTGCCTTCCTCCTGCTGCTGCTATCGGCTGATTCGATGTCATCCTGAAGCCGTTCCCAACCCTGCCCCCCAAAACAAGGAGGCATTGCCGGCGTTGAAAGGCGGCCCCACTAGCCGAAGGGGGGGGGTTACCTCAGGACGCGAGGGAGGCTTAAATAAGATAGTGCCATCATGAATCTCCGGGGTAAAACACGGGGGCGCGCGCCATTTAGTGAGACAGGCCATGGAAGCTGATCCTCCGCGTCTAGTGCAGCCCTGCCCACTAGCGACTAGCGCCCAGACAGTGGGAGGAGGAGAAGAGGGCGAGAGCAGCAGCAGAGGAAGGACGGCCGACGGACGACAACGCTTCTTTTTTCCTCGGGCCCCCGAGCATAGGCGGACATCGCGTCGAGCGTCGCCCGCAAAATGCTCGCGCGGACAAGGAAAACTCTGCGTTCTTGAATCAACACCGCCTGTCACCTGGCGGTCGGAAGTCGCCCGGCCAATTCAGCGTGCCGAACAACTTCGCCCGCGACATGATCACCTGTGACCAACCACCGAGGAGGACTTGCCTCGGCAGATGGCCTGTTCATCTTGGTGGACATGAACAAAGCGAAATGCGATAAGAGAGGGGTCGCGGCTCTGCAGCAGTTGGCCAAGCATCGCCCGGGGGACGCCATCGCCACCTCGCGGGGAGGCCCACAGACGGCCAAACCACCCCTTCACGACTGCTTCGCAATCCGACGCCTGCACGATCGCCCCAGCGGCGGCCCGCGCCGGAAGCGCAAGCGCCCGAAGCTCGCCGGGCGCGGACTGCCAGAGGCCAGCGAGGGCCCCCGCAACGGGGGACGGCGAGGTCGACCACGGGCTCGAGAAAGCAAAACAGCACAACGCCAATTCCGACACGTCTGAACAATGGGGGAGCGGCATCTGGCGCCGCTGGCGTCGCCGAGAAAAAACAACGGCCTGTCCTCGAGCCCTTGGCCGCGGAAGCCCGGGGCCAGCTCGGAGTCGGCGCCCGCAACGTGCCGAGCCTCATCTGGCGGCGGGGCCGGGGCACTGGCCTACTCGCGAGGGAGGGGGCCCCGACGCCAGCAGGCTGACCCCGCGTTCTCCTGCGCCTCGGCCTCCGCCGCCGCATCCGCTGTCTGGTCATAGAAGGCGTTGTCTTCGTTCTCGCCACGACGCCAAATCCGACGCATCCCCGTCTCCAGCTCGACATGACAACGAGGGCACTTGCCGGGGCCTTGACGCCGCGGGATCTCATCCTTCTCGCGCACTCGCGGCCGCGCACCCCCAACAACGCGCGCGAGGAGAAGTCTCAGACAACCTGTGGCCGATGACAGGGACCTCCCCTAGTCGCTGCAAGAGCGGGCGGTAGGAGTCGCAGTCGGCTCCACGCTCGAAGGCTCCACCCAGTCGGTGCTTGCTGGCAACTGCCCATTGCATGGTGGCGAGGACTTCTTCGAAGTCACTTAAGGAGCAGCGGTGCAAATCCAGCGCTATGATGCCTGATGCGGTCGTCGAACCTCCAATCGTCGCCTGCAGCTGCGTGGCCCGCGGGAACTGCCCGCGCCGTGGCCTCAGACGCAGGCCGCCCAGACTCCGCCAGGTGCAGGGCGACGGCCGGGATGGGCCCTCTGACCCACCTGGAACGATGAGCAGGCGGGATTGACTCCAACTGATTGGCAATGGCGGCCCATGCACGTCGCGCACCAGCCCGAAGCGCAGGGTGATCTCGCCACATGGAGAGCCAGAGGTCCAGGCACTTCGACGGTAGCTTGATGCCAGGGTCCTGGACTGGGGCTCGCAGCGCCAACGGCGCGGCCAGACATCTGCCAAGAGTCGGCGCAGCACGCGCGAGCGCCGGGCGGCGCCTCGCGAAGCACGAGCGCTGGCCGAAGGCCCCATGGACTTGGATACCGCAGATCCCAGCAGCCTGGGCCCCCATAACCTCCATGCGTGGAGTCGCACGATATCGGCGAGCAGCTCGAGCGAAACGACCAACTTTGGCACTCATGGCGCAATGCTTCGCCTCCCGCCGGCGGCGCGCGGTCCGAGCAAGACGCCGGGCGCGTGAAACATCAACGCCCAGCAAGGCAGCCCGTGTCTGAGGAACAACCGTGAAACCTGCTCTTCCAACAACCATGCATACTCATCTCGCATTTGCTAGATGAGTGCAGACAACAACCGATTTGGGGGGACCTCCAATTTGTGCGTTGCCAGGGCTGTACACGCATCCACCATGCAGTCGCGAAGTTCAACTCGCGCAGCTGGGCGCGAGCCTCGCACTTGTTGCGATGAGTCGCCTATCCAGAAGCGATGGCCAGCCATCGGATGTGCAACCACAGCTCGCTTTGAAACAACATGTGCCATCGAACCTCCAAACCTGGTGCAATATCGCAAAACACTCCTCGCCGGCTGAAAAAGGGCCAAGGCCCCGAGCTGAATGAGAACTCTCTCGCTGATACACATCGCAACAATTCCAGGTATCAGATCCCGAAGAAATGTCATCTTCAAAACAGCTCCAATAAGATATGGCCATCCTGATGACTCATTGAATGAGTAAGTATCGCACAAAACATGTCAAATTTCGATCTGGAATTTGAAACACGCCTCCTCCTGAATGGCTCGGATATAGACCTCGCGAAGACTGGCATTGCCCCGCGCCGCAGCGCCCCGCCCCTCCTCCGCGGCGCCAGCCCAGTCCCTGACGAGCGGCTCGCGCATAAGAGACCAGGGGCGCCCGAGGAGCGGGGCCAGCCCAATGACCCTGTCTCCCGGCGTCTTCTCGGGGGGCATCTCCCCCGAGATCAGTAGAAGCCGCGCGGGCCAGCGCAGGCGCTGCTCGCGCGCCTCGAAAACCATGGCGGGCTCTGCCAGCCGACTCCCATGCCTGTAGAAGGCCGCGCGCGGCGAATAGCTTCCCCGACGTCCTGCGCCGCGTTAGCCGGGGGCGGGTCGCTCTCCGCAGCGGCCTGGGCGCCTGCAAAAGAGCCCCAGATGTCGCTCTCAGCGAGCGGCTCAGGGGCCCATTCATCATGTCAAAGCTGCGCCTTAGCGCCGATGAGATCACGAGGGTGGTAAACTTGAACGCCTTGCACCTCCATTTCCTGGACTGGCTTACCCAGTGATTCCTCATCGCCGGCGAACTCCCTGAATGCTGCCAATCACTGCTGATCCGCCCTGCGATGACTGCACGCGCGCGCCTTTTTGGGCGCCGGTTCGCGCCCGTCGAGCCCCGGCCGGGAACTCGCCAACTCGCCGCAGGGAGTGAAAGCCAAATTGCCCGCGACGCATCCTTGCCCGCCAGCAATGCCGAGTGGGCCTGCTCTGGGGCCGCCTCCAAACGTCGCAAGCACGCCTTGATGCAGCCCCGCTGCCGCCCCAACCGCTTCCGCCGATGACGCGCCGGGCCGTGCCAATGCGCGGCGCTGGGCCCGCCGGCAGCTGATGCGACCCCGCGGCGGCGCGACGCGCCCCTTGGGCGGGAGGTGGGCGCCGCGTGGAAGCGGACATCATCTGCGCGGCTGGGATCAACCAGAGAAGTCCCACCATGGCGCTCGACATGCAGCGTTCGACAGACGAAATCCACGAGGAGTAGATGCCAGAAACTGCAGCAATCTGCGAGGGTTTGAGCCGAGCGGCCACGGGCTCGCGCAACGCAGGGAGGGAGAGACTGAAGCACATCGTGTCCAGCGCTGAAGCCTACCACCCGACGGCTCTCAGACCGCGTCTGATCAGGGCGCCGGAAGCGCGGGCCCGCATCGCCCACCTGTGGGGGGAGGTGCAGAAAAGCGCCTCGACCCGTCGAACTGTCGACGTTTGGACCAACGCTGGATACGCACGCAGGCTGGGGGCCCAAGGCCCCGCCAGACGGTGGATGGCCAAAAGCAGAGCTCGCCAGCGGGGAACGACGCACTAGCCCCCCCAGCTCGGGGCCCACAGCGCGAGACAAAACGTTTGCGCGGTGCCTGCGCGGAGGGCCCCTCGCAGAGACGGGCCTGGACAAACATTTAACGCGTCAGTTCGCGGCCCCCCCCCTCTTGTGGCCACTCCCAAAAGCGGCGACATCAACGTCTTGAAACCCTTCAGACTGCGAAGCAGCAGGTGGGGTCGTGGAGGGGGGCCCCCCACCCCGGGGCACCTCCTCCAATGGCCGCGCTTTAAAGACTGCTGGCGCGCAGCCCCCAAGCGTGGCGCGAATTTGCTCGGAGCTTTTTCTGCGGCAATCCAGCGCTGCGCTTTCCCGCGAGCCTTCGCCGCGCTAGACTTTGAGCCTTCTGCGGGCGCCTTGGAGGGCCTTGAAGTCCAAAGCAGCCCGGCAGGACAGGACAAGGCCCCCGTCGCGAGCTGGTCACCAGAGCTGCGGAGCACAATCTCGAGGCCTACGCGGAGCTTCCAGGGACCTCGGCTACAGGGTTCACTTGGAGAATTGAGGGGCCGCGCTGACAGACTACACGCGACATGATCTAGATGCGCCCCCGCCGCTGGATTTCAGGGGGCCTGGGCGTGGGCTGCGATCGCTGCACCTCCGAGATATTCCCTCACCCCCGTTTGCTCGAATGCCTGCGGGCTCATGTTGAAGTCGCCGACCACCACCCGCAGCAGCTGCGGCGCGAACAGGATCCCTGCGAGCCTGTTGAAGCGACCGATTCTGGCCCCCGCGAAGCCCACGCTAGAATACTCGTAGAGAGACACGATGGCCAAGGCGAAGCCACGGGATTGCGCGATCACGAGAGCGAAGCCGCCCAATGCCTGGCTCGAGGGGGCGCAGGGGCGGGCGCCTGCTGCCTTGACCGCGCCCATGCGATGACGCTGGAGACGATGGCCAGCGAGCGGCCCTCATTGGAGCGCGATGAAGCCGGAGTGCTTAAAGTAGAGCGCCGCCCGGCAGCGCCAACAACCGCGCAAAGGCCGCTGCTACGACACCTCGTTACCCATTGGAAGATATGATTCCGAAGATGGAGATGCGTCTCGACGTGGCCGTAGCAATCGTAAGTCGTAGCTGCTATCGAAGACCAGACCTTCTCCCCCGCGCATGTGATGATTGAAAAGAATAAGCGCGATGTGCCATTCTCATCCCCTGGGGCAAGCGGCGAGGCCTGCACCTTAGGATCACTATCGGAGCCGAGTCACGAGGCGGCCCCACTCGCAGACCCAGGTCCACCTGCTGCTGCAGCTGCATCTGATGCCGGGGCGGCTGCCTCCACGCCCTTGCCCTTGCCCTTGCCCTTCCACTTAGCGGCGAAGGCCTCGGCCTGGAACTTCGCATCTGACAGACGCTGCGCCTCAGCGAGGATCTGCGCCTCCGTCGGCTCGGGCGCGCCATCTGGGGCCGCGGCGGTCGGGGGGCCCCCGGCACCAGCCGCGGGGCGACCAGCAGCCGCGCCGCCTCCTTCAACAGCAGCGCCGTCTCCAGCACGAACACCAGCACTATCATCTCAACGACGCTTCTTTCTCATGCAATCGTTGATCTCACGACGATATGCTTCCATCCCGGCGAGCCAATCCTTGACCTTGGCCTCCGTCGCGGGCATCTCCTTTTCAGTGGTGAGCAGCCGCTCATGGATCTCCTGCAGACCCTTGCGCTCGGCCTCCTCGCACTCCATCTCCCCTAACTTATCGAAAAAGGTGGTGTCCCAGACGACCTGGAAGGTCGTCGACTGTTCGTCCTTGGCCCCGACAAGAAGTGCGACGCCATCAACATGGGCAACGGCCTGTGCCGCCCTGCGCCGCGCCACCTCTGCCGCAGCCAAGACATTCCCGTCTTCTCCTGCGCCTCCGCACTGGCCAATGACGAGCGAAGGCGGAAGACATTTTGAACTGACTGGTTGTGTTTGTGATCTGAATCTCGATACTGCCCGTCGGCCCTCTTCAAAGCCCCGACCTCAGAGACCGCCCCTTTGGCCTGGTACTGAATATTGCCCTCGAGCTTGCTGGTCTACAGCTCGAGGGTGGCCCACAGCCCAGGGTCGGTCGTGGCCGCTGCTGCTTGCTGCAGGAGGGACAGCTCGCTGTCCTGTCCTCCTTACTGCTGTTGGACAGCGCGCCCTCCTGACGATCCGCGCCCGCCCTTGCTGTTCCCGATGCTGGGGGCAGGTGAGGAGCGGCGCGAGCGGAGGATCCCGTTCGGGTGGACGAGCGAGATCTCCTCCTGCTCCTCCTCGAAGGAGACCTGCTTGGTGCGAGGCTGGAACAACTTGACCTGCTTCCCGTACTTGGTGTACGCCATCTTCTGCATGACAAGGCAGCCATTGTATTCGCATGTCTTGCAGCTGCTGCGGCGCGACAAGAGCTGGTGGCCAGACATTCCGTAGCACTGTTCTTCTGTGCGTTGGTCGGAACCAAGAGGGCCCTTCCCTTCAATGGGGCCTCCTGGCGAAGTCCCTCAAATGCCACGGGAAGGCACACAGGAATATGCTCCACCAGAATGGTTCGAGCCAAAGCACTTGAGGTGAGGAGAAGGCGGAGGAAGAGGAGGAGGAGGAGGAGGAGGAGGAGGAGGAATCCGAGGGGGAGGAGGAGGAGGAGGAGGAGGAGGAGGAAGCTAGGAGGGAAGGAGTCAGGCGCAAGGGGTTTAGGAGGAAAGGGGGAGGATTAAGGAGTAAGAGGCTGCCTCCGCGTGCCCCCGCGTGCCCGTGATGGGGAAGGGGCTGGAGCGACAACTCTCGTGCACTGCGCCCCGCGTCGGGTTTTGCAAATTTCCAGGGGCAACTGCACGTACCAGGACGCCTCCCTCTCTCCCCCCCACCCTCCCACTTTTCGCTATTTTTTTGACGGTTTTGACGGTCCTGGGGACCGGGAGGGGCCCCTGGAGGCTGATAGTATAGGGGACCGGACAACGACATAAACATAAAAACTCTGAGGTCCGCGCGGATTTCTCGGATCGGCGCTGGGGCCCCCTGGCGGCGCCTCCGGCGCCGCCCCTGGCGCGCCCCGCGCGCCAGGGAGGGGAGTCCAGTGTGGATCCAAGGAATCTGAGCGGACCTCCGAGTTTTTATGTTTATGTGACTCCCCTATAGTAGCGAAAAGTCCTCCCCTATGTTCTATGTGACTCCCCTATAGTAGCGAAAAGTCCTATAGTAGTTTATGTGACTTCCCTATGTTTTATGTGACTCCCCTCTTTTTGTTCCCCTATAATAGCGAAAAGCCTCCCGGCGAAGGCCGCCCGCCAAAGGCCGCGCACGGCGGCGGCGGCGGACTGCGGCGGCGGCGGCGGCCGCGAGCCCTGCGAGGCGGCGCGGGCCGCGAGCGCCACCGCGCCCAGGAGCAGCGCGAGCGGCCCCGGGGCGCCGCGCCTGGCAGGGCAGGCTGCGGCTGGCAGGGCTCAGAGGCCGGCGGAGCCTCCTCCTCCTCCTCCTCCTCCTCCTCCTCGTCCTCCTCCTCCTCAACCTCCTCCTCCTCCTCCTCCTCCTCCTCCTCTTCCTCCTCCTAGTCCTCCTCGTCCTCATCGGCATATCCCTCTTCCTCTTCCTCTCACGCTGACTCTTACTCTTCGTCCTCCTCTGCGTCCTCAACGTCCTCGTCCTCGCCTCGTCGTCCAATCCGCCCCCTTATTCTCCCCCCTCCTCCTCTCCTCATCTTCATTTTCCTCATACCCCTCCTCTTCCTATTCCTGTTCGTCGTCCTCCTCCTCGTCCTCCTCGTCCTCGTCCTCGTCCTCCTCCTCCCCCTCCTCTTCCTCCTCCTCTTCCTCTTCGTTGTCCTCCTCCTCGTCGTGAACGTCCTCGTCCTCGTCCTCGTCGTCTTCCAATCCTTTTCCGGATGAATAACTTCTCCCTGTCGCACCCCGAAGCCGTTTTTAGGGCAGTCCGGGCGTTTCGCCTGAGACTTCCTCACCACTAATGACTCCGAAGCTGAAAAATTGACAGCAGTTTCACAAACGGTGGGCGGGTGGTTTTCAAAATGTGGCTCTCGCCTCAGCGCGGCGCACATTCGTTTTCGAACTTTGCACGAGCTTCACGGATTGAGGGCGGGTCGTTTTCAACATGTGGTTCCCGCCTCAGCGCGGCGCGCAGTCGTTTAACAAATGCAAGCGTTTCGCGTATCGAGGGCGGGCCGTTTTCAAAATGTGGCTCTCGCCTCAACGCAGCGCACATTCGTCAACAAATCACAACATTTTCACGGATTGAAGGCGGGCCGTTTTCAAAATGTGGCTCTCGCCTCAGCGCGGCGCACATTTGTGTTACAAGTTCGCAAGAGCTTCGCGGATTTAGGGCAGTTCCTTTTCAAAACGTGGTTGGCGCCTCAGCGCGGCGCATATTCGTTGGAACAGATTGCAAGAGCTTCGCGGTTTATGGGGGGTCGTTTCCAAAATATGGCTCTCGCCTGAGCGCCGCGCACAGTCGTTGAGTATTTACAAAAGTTTCACGGATTCCCATCATCAACGTACCCGAAACGGTGTTTTAGAAGGATTCAGGATTACGCGGGCGCAACAGTTGTGTATATTCTAAGTGTTGAAGTCCTAAGAATGGCGTTCTGGCGCGATTAAGGATCGTCAAGGCGCAACCGTCAGGTTCGTCCGTGGCGTTGGAATCCCGAGGACAATGTCTTGGCATGCTTCAGGGTCTTCAGACAGATGTCTTCCAACGAGGCAGTTCCCTCAATGGACATGACCCGTTGTATGGGGCCTATGAAGAGGGAGCTTGGAGGGAGGGTTTACTCCAAGATCGTTGATGACTCTTGGGTTTACGCTAGCGTCCTCCTCCTCCTCCTCGCGCAGTGCGGGCCACAGCGGTCTATCCCCGAAGCCCGCGCCGCGCCGCGCGCGGCCCGCGCGGTGCGACGCATGGACCCCCACCCCACCCCGCGGCCCCCGAACAGCCTCGGAAGGGGGGGGGGAGCCTCGAGGAAAACTTCAGGACCCCGGAAAGAGCACCTCCGCCAAAAGGACAGAAGGAAAGGAACTTCAAAGGGCCTCGGAGCGACGGGACGGCGGGGGCCGCACGGGCCGCGGGGGCGCGACAGCGCAGGGCCCGCCCCCCACCACCACCCCCATAGGTGATGATGACCTCCAGCACGCAGCTGTTGCGAAGCTGGGGTGGTGGTAGAGGGGCCGAAGCTCGCATGCACGTGCGTGCCCCCCCCCCCGCCCCCTCAAGCAAGAGCGAGGCCGACAGGCCACGGGCCTCCAGGGGCCAAGCCGGCGAGGGGGATGGGAGGGGGCCCGCAGACCGAGACGAGAGACCCGAGCGAAGTACGCGGACCAAGGGCCCCGCAGAAGCAAGATAAAAAAAGGGCCTCCAGGGCACCCCGGGAACGAAGAAGATGAGGAACGAGGCCCTAAGGGGGGCCTCCAGGCCCCAGAGCGAGGCGGCGCCCCGCGGCTGCGAGGCCCTCCTCCTCCTCCTCCTCCTCCTCCTTCTCCTCCACGTCCTTCTCCTCCTCCTCCTCCTCCACCTCCTCCTCCTCCTCCTCCTCCTCCTCCTCCTTCTCCTCCTCCTCCTCGCTGGTGGTGGCGCCGTGCCACGGGATCGCCTCCAGTTCGGCGTGGGCGCCGCCGTTGCGGTCCTCCCTGAACCTTCGTGACGGGCCGTTGAGGATGTCCCTCTCATGCTGCTGGTCGTGGTGGTGCTGATCCATTCGGTGGCGGGTAGGCGGCCCGTCCAGCGGAGGCGCAGGTGGCGGGTAGGCGGCCCGTGCTGATCCATTAGGTGGCAGCCGCCGTCGGCGCAGCGGCGCTGCGCCTGTCAGCCCAGCAGTCACCCATCAGCGCACTAAGCGCTGTGACAGCCAGGGGCCTCTCGTCATTGAGCTCGTCGTACATGTCGCCGCTGTTCGCCCCGTAGTGGCGCCAACGATCGTGGCCGTTGCTCGCCTCCTCGTGATTGCTCGCACTGGGTTCCATGAGCAGCATGCCCGCATCGCTTTAGTCGTAAGGTTGCCAGTACACAGTTTGCTCGAAGCTGCCTCCATTGTCCATGATGGTCATGAGAAGAGTGCTGCCGGCGCTGATATTGTCGCCGTCGCTGCCTGTGACACCGATGATGGTATTCGGTGGTGGTGGTGATGATGACACCTCGCTGATGTCGTATGTCTCCGTAATCGTCGATCTTGAGATGCCGAGCCGCGCGGTCAATGATGATGCAACGTGTCGAGCTGGCCAGGCTGGTATAAACGATCAAAATTGTTTGTCGCAGTGCTCCCCTAGCTGCCCGTGCCCGTTGGCGCGTCGATTCCTATATATGCCTCTGCCCCGTCGGCGCGGAGCTGCTGTGAGCTTTTTCATCATAGTTCATTGTGCCGATACTGATGTCAATGAGACCAAGGCAAATTCCCTTTCCGCACATGAGCTTGAGGGAATATTGGATGTTGCTGCCACCTGGCTCGTCGAACAAAACGGATGTTGACGTTTGTTGTTTCCGAACTGGTCGGCGGCCTGTTGGATGTTCTGGAACGTGTCGGTGGTGAAGCGACCGCTGTCGGACATAATGAGTATCACGCTGGGAAATGTATCGTTTTCGTCGTCCGTGTTGTTGTGCTTTTCGGCCCTCCTCCTCTTCCTTCTCGTCCTCTTCGTATTAATCCACCCCCTCCTCCTCCTACTCCTTGTTCTCCTCCTGCTCTTCCTCCGTGTTTCCCTCTTGTGTTCCACCTCCTCGTATTCCTCGCCTCCCCCTCCCCCTCGTCCTGCTCCTCCTCCTCCTCCTCCTCCTCCTGTTAATCAGTTTTCTCCTCCTCCTCGTCTGCTTCCTCTTCCTCCTCCTCTTCCCCCTCCGCCCTCCCCCCCTCCTTCCCCCCTCTCGTCCTCCTCCTCCTCCTCCTCCTCTTCCTCCTCTTCCTCCTCCTTTTCCTCCTCCTCCGCCTCCTCCTCGTGCTGCGGCAGACCCAGCGCCAATCCAAATGCGGGAGGGTTGTCTTCTGGGGCCGGCGCGTGAGGATCGCCCGCGCACGTCCGATTGCCCTCGCGCGCAATGTGAGGTCGAACCGATGCACGACAGAGCGATCGTACTCAGCCAATCCACGTTTTCCTTTTTCCTCCCTCCTCATATTATTTGTCATATGTTTCCCCTTTTTCCTCCTCCTCCTCCTCCTCCTCCTCCTCCGCTTTCTGACGTCAGCCGTCATGCGCCGTTTGCCTGGGAGGCGCCTGGAAAACGTAGATGACGCTAAACGAGCGGCATGACTTTGCCCATGTCAGCGGACATTTCGGGATTGTCGGGGTGGAAACCTTGTATTTATACATATATATACACAAAAATACACTAGAACCACGCGCGCGCGACGCGCGCGCTTACGTTCTAGCCGCGGCAGCACGGAGAGCAGAGCCATCGACGGCGGATCTCGTTCCAGAGGGTCCAGACGGCCGACCCTCCTGGAACCATGGATTTCTCGCACTGCGCTGTCGGCAGAACGAGGGGTAGGAGGAGGAGGAGGAGGAGGCGGAGGAGGATGAGGATGAGGAGGAGGAGGAGGAGGAGGAAGAAGAGGTGGAGGAGGAAAGGGGGAAGAGGAACGGCGGCAGGGAAGTAAGGGGAGGGGCGGAAAGAGGAGGAAGTGGAGGTGCCAGCAGCAGCACCAGCGGCAGCGTGAGCATAATGAGTTGGAGCACGCGGGTGGAAAAAGAATAGGAAAAGGAACGACACGAGTTTCCGCGAATTCCGCCGCGCGCCTTGCCGCGCGCGGCCATAGCGGGGCCGCAGCAGAGGCCTTGTGGAAGTGTCTGGAGCCGTTTCGTCGGCCAGTTGGGTTGTCTTGGGCCCAGCTTCAGCTGCCTCGGGGTACTCCAGGGCCCCCATGGGTGCAGTTGGGCAATATGCGTTCCCTGTTGGGCCGTGCAAAGACACCGCTGGGAGCCTCAGGCGCCGCAGCGGGCGGTTTGGGAACCCTCCTTGTGGAGCAACGAATCGGGAAAGCAAAAAGCGGGAAAAACAGTACGTGCGAGAAACATTGAAACATCAAATATGCGTGCGTTCGGGGGTCGTGGTGGGGCGCCTTTTTGGAAGCGCCTTGGACCGTCTTGGCGGCCTCCGAACCTGTCTTGTGGCTATGTTCGGCCGTCTCGGGATGTTTGTGGCCCCTCGTGGGCGGCGCTTCAATCGCCACGGTGCCTTCTTGGGCCGCCTTGGGGGCCTCTGGGGCGATAGCGGGGCGGTCTTGGTGACCTCGGGGGCAGCCGTGCAACGTGGGGATGCAGAACAGGTTGCATGGAAAATAAGGTGGATAACCCCGCTGGCGTCCTGGGCCTCCGCTCGGGCAGCGACGCCCGTGGCGCTTTGAGGACGGTGAAGCGGCTGCGCCAGACTTCGAAGGGAAGGACTGTGGATGGGGGGGGAGGACGAACGCCAGGAGCAGGAGGAGCAGGCAGAGGA